CATGATATGATGAAAATTAGTTGGTTTTCTTCTTTTTTAATATAAATAAGCGATTCTTTTTTTACATATTTTTACTTCATAAAATGGATGAAGAACACTTGATTTATTTATTAACCTCAGTGAACTTACCTCTTCGACTTTTCAATTACACTTGAATCCGAAGCACTTTCGGAAATAACCAACCACCCTCCAAGACGAATAAAATCGGATCCCTTTTGGGATGAACTTAATAAAACCACCGATAAGTGACAATGCAAATATTGTGATAAATCTTATTCATTGGATACGGGCCATTTTATTTTCTAAAGCCAAAAATGCGATTAATTCAATTCGTAATTGAGTGTCTGAGAAAATGCTTCTGCAAGCCTTTGCTTGAAAATGTGGTATGAATCAGGTATTATCGACTGTGTAGAAGGTTAATAAATTAGATATTATTGCGTAGGTCAATAAATAAGTAATAGTGATAGGTGTAATAAATATTGTAAATACATAATATTTATGTAAAATTCATGTATTTTCTCTTTTAAATAGCGATAACAAAGCAGGATTTATTAGCTTGTTTAAGCAAGCACAATTATTAGTATATTTGTATAAACTGAGTTCGATAACCAGTTTCACGTATATGGTTTGAAACAGTGTTCCAACGAGTTTTAAGCACAAATTAACCAGTTGAAATAGGATAACATCTCTAGTTATTACAATGCGAATCATCTAATTTCCACAATTAATTTCGATAAACATAAATTTGTCTCAAAGTGTTAAAATTGGATTAGTTAAACTGATATTTTAAGATTTTTTTGTTAAATAGTTCTTTTAAAAAGCAATTGTTATTTGAAGATAAAGTTATTTTACAAATAAACTTATGATTTAGTCATTTTAAATATATAAATTAAATCTAAAATTTGGCCATTTATTTGGTGATTTTGGATCTTATATCAAAGTTTTAAATTGTGTCAAATTTAAAATATAGCTTTATCCATTTTATTAAAATTATTAAAATTACAAATTTGCCACTAAAAATTTTATTTGTTTGGTCTAAGTCGTCCGAATGGAACTTTAAAATCTGATAAAAATGAACTTAAAACTAGGGTTGATTTGCATAAATTACAATTTTACATTGTGTAACTTTACATATCAAGAGCTAATCTCCGAAGCAAAAATATACCAAAATCTACAAAAACCTATTGTGTTGCCTAATCAAAAAATTTGATTGGGTATTTTTTAGCGAACATTGCATGAAATTAAAACATCTTCGCTACGCTTCGGACAATAAGCTTTACAAAAAATTAAGTTTCATGTACACGTTTTACAAAAGTTCGGCTAACACTATATATGATCTGAATTATAATCCAATCTCCGATAATTTAATCCCAGAAACTAAATAATGCTGCAATGTGCTAAAATTACAAATTATATGAAAATTAATTTTCGAATCTTACAAAACAACATGAAATTACGCAAAATTATTGTAATATTACATCCCTACTTAAAACAATGTATCTTTATAAATTCTTTGGACGCTTATCAAAATACTTTGTTAATTAATATAAATTTCGGATTTTAGGATTTATGCTTTGAAATTTAGATTATTCGAAATGACCAGAATTTTTAGGACAGTCCGAAAACCAACTTTGCAAATAATCTATCAAGAATGGTATCTTTTATACAGTTATAAATTAATTTGCATCGATTTTAGGTAACTGGTTGTCAAGATGAATCCAATCAGAATGTGATTACTTAAAATAGAATTTCATTTTAACGACCTTTTTTGCCATTTATACATGTAGAATGACGTCTAGTAGGGTACCAATAGAATTCCTATTGCTGCTGCTCAGAGGCAACAATGAGGTCAATAGGGTGTCATTAGGCATCAATCAGAATAATATTATCCTTATTTATGCCTATCAATACCCTACTAACCTTCTTGGCGCTAAAATCTTGCAGCAATAAGGGTACCATTTGTAAATCAGGGATATTTATTAATACACTATTAGATATCGGCACTATTCAATTTACCATAAAAAGATTCGCTAATTTAAATAGTTTCTAAAAGAATACTAAATGCATGCATGTTATTTAGAGGCTATTTTTTTCCGTATTAGATCCTGACGGAGTTATCATTTTACCTTTGTACGTATCTACTGTATTTAAAATTCGTTAATCGGTAATACGAATCAGCTTCTCCGGTGTCACAATACCTATAAGATAAAACGAGCGTTACGCAATGTAATTTATACATATTCTCAATTGACTTCCAACTTGAACTCTTATCTATTTGTTGGTATTGCATTAATTCTATATTTGACATTTTCTTTCATTGCGCCAAAATGTCAATTATAAAACAGTCAGAACAAACCGACAACCCGTTAGATATTATTGAGATATCCAACAAAGTTAACCAATCTTATTTAGAAGACAAGTCACAGGATTTTCTTAATGAAATTATTAAGGAAATGTATGATGTTTTTATTGAAGAAAGATTGAAAGGCAAAAGTAACAGTTTAGTTCTTGACGACTTAGAACAACTTTTGGTAAAAAAAAAGCAACATCCGGACAACATTATCAAATATTGTTTGGGCGATCAGATCAATCCTATAGTTCAAAATATACTTGCAATTTGTTATCATCATGGTAAATGGGTTGTAAAGGATGAATATAAGGCATTCATTTATTATCAACAATCTGCAGATATGGGTGACAGCAGCGGAATGTATAGTGTTGGATATTGTTATCAACATGGAATTGGAGTTGAAAAAGATAAACATATGGCTTTCATTTATTATCAAAAATCAGCAGAGATGGGCGATGCTAGTGGAATATTTGCTCTTTGTAACTGTTATAAAGATGGAATTGGAGTTGAAAAGGATGAACTTAAGGCATTCATTTACTATCAAAAATCTGCAGAGATGGGAGATGCTATTGGAACATTCAATCTTGGCAATTGTTACAAAGATGGAATTGGAGTTGAAAAGGATGAACGTAAGGCATTCATTTATTATCAAAAATCTGCAGAGATGGGAAACATTATGGGAACAAATAATGTTGGATATAGTTATGAAAAAGGAATTGGTGTTGAAAAGGATGAGCTTAATGCATTCATTTATTATCAAAAATCTGCAGAGATGGGGGATGTTATTGGAACATCCAATCTTGGAAATTGCTATAAAGATGGAATTGGAGTTGAAAATGATGAACGTAAGGCATTCATTTACTATCAAAAATCCGCTGAGACGGGAAGTGCTGATGGAATTTATAATGTTGGATATTGTTATTTTTATGGAATTGGAGTTGAAAAGGATGAGCAAAAGGCTTTTGAATGCTATATAAAAAGCGTAAAACACATTGATTGTTGTGGAATTCACCAAGTTGGTTTATGTTATCAGAAAGTGATTGGTGCAGATAAGAACAATAATATAGCTTTTAAATGTCATTTAAAATCTGCCGCCATTGGACATGAATACGGTACTCGTGAAAATTATTTCCATTGGTTAAGATACGATAATTTTAGGAACATTAAAGAAGTAGGTGTAAGAGGATTTTCCGTAATGTATAAAGCTTCGCATTAAACGTATGACGAAGTTGCAATCGAGATGTCAAAAGATCAACACAAACAGGAAAATCTTTTTTTAGCGAGATTTGTGTTTATCGTAAATTATTTGATTTATAACTTAACTGTAATTTATTTATTTCTAGTTAAAGGCCTACAATAATGTTGGTAAATATTGTGATGTATTAAGGTCTCAAAAGCTTAATTTAGATGATAATATCAGCTACGTGCGTTCAAACATAATTATTCATCATGATCTTGTAATTATAATTTCTCAAATTTATATTTTTAATAATTAAAATATACTTATTTCTTTATTAATAATCAGCACTCAGAAACTATTAAAATTCCTCAAAATTGCATTAAAGTCGCAGATCTTGGATATTTTAGAAAATCAGTTAAAGTAACCACTTCAGATCATAATGCTCATGAAATCGTAAATAAATGCACTCAAGGTCGAGCAGAAAATAAACCTAATACGATTAAATATTTTCAACATGGCTTGGTGGACGAAATTTCAGTTCTTATTTTTCAATATGTTGAATCTCCTTTGAATTTAATGTTGACATGTAAAAATTGGTATAAAATTTCAATCGATCAACAAGCGAGGGCCAAATGGGTTATTTATAAATATGGTCACGCGCATGCCCTTTTCTATGCAATCAAATTTGGTTCAAATTTTATCAATTTACCTGTTGCTCGGGCAATAATCGCCAACAAAGCTATAATATCTAGATATTTTGTTCAACGACTTCTTTTACATTTCGGAAAATTTGATAAAGATCTTGTTACATTAAAAATAGAATATAATAACAATTCTGGGCGAGTGAATAATACTTCATTTCAAAGCATTCAACAAACTACAAAACAACCTTGGGCAAGTGACTTAGAAATGACAGTTTTTTTATATATTCTAAAAATAGCTGCGGAACAATTTAGTGAATCACAACTTTCACTAAAGGGAAATGATATGGAATTGTTTCACTTTTTGTCTGCAGGACCATATGCTCTGAGAGAAGCTAAAGTTATCATGATTAATAATTTGGATCAGATCAAGGATTTAATAATGAAACAAAAATTTATTCCTTTTCCACCACGACCAGGAAGCAGCTTTATACAAACCATATCCGAAGAATACCCGGCTAAAGACGGATTTGAAAATAATAGGCAACTTAATGTAATTGCCAGAGCAATACTAATTCATCCGAATTTGGTGACTGCTTGGCATAAGATTGGATATCACAGTATTTGTAAAGATGTTAATGGATTGGTAATGCAAGGTGCTATTGTCTTGCTTTTTTCTCCAGCGTCTGCAACTAACTGGACACCACCAAATCCTGAAGAAGTAGTTAAGAGACTATCAGAATTAATAAAGCTTGGATTTGAATTAGATTATACTGTCATTGCAGAAATATTGTTAATTGAAAGAAAATTAGATGAGGTTGGAAATACAATGATAAAGGCGTTTTTGCAGATAAAGAATGAATCACTAGGCAAATTTTTGCGTCAATGTTTAATTGAAATATTTCGAGCATTTCGATTGGACAAAAAGCAGAAAAAGACAGATGTTCTTGATTTCCTGTATTCATTGATTGACAAAAATCATGAAAATGAGTTTTTTAAAGCCATGGAATTTGATCTTGAAAATAGATTGGATGAAAATAATAACAGTCCATTTGCACCTTTAAAATTCCCGGCTTTTTATTATTGTTGGATTTTAAGTAAGTTTGGGGCAGATGCTCAAATTACGAATTGGTGTTTTAACGATATCTTGGAAAAAAGAGTTAATGCTGATGTTTTCATTCAACAACGTCATCAACAAAATTATGTTTTAAGTGAACAACTTGAAAATAATTTCAAAGAAATATGCGATGCATTTAAGAGCTATTCCAATACTGTAAACTTCTTTAAACCTTCGCACTTGAAGATTATGAAACAGGCTACTCATGCTGATATAATTGATGAATTGAAACACTATTTAACCAAATTATTCATGCAACTATCACAAGATTCTGTCGAACGGAATGATAACATGGATAATGACATTGCGTCAGCATTTACTCAAAAACGAAAATGGGATGATCTCGAGTTGAATAATTGGTATGATGAAATAAGAAGACTACACGATGACATAGATAGTTCTTTAATGTCGGGTGAATTCAGTGAATTTTTAAAGAGTATTTGGGAAATAATTAATGGCTCGAATTTTATTTTAAGTCGTGATGTGGGAAAATAATCATCTGAGAGAATCCAAAAGGCATAAGAAAAATGGTAGAAAAAATAAGCAGTATTATATTCTACAATATTCTCTCAGGGTCAGTACAGTGACTAAAAATTGCACATATGGATGGTTTGCCACCCGTTCCAACTAATAGTTAGATATGACGAGCAGTGTAATGCCAATTATTGATCATTAAATAAAATTATAAATATATATAAATAAAGTTTATATTTTTAAAAGTTTACTTCATATAACTCTTATTCTCTCTTTTCGAATCTAGTTCTAAATTTTTTTATGCCATGACATTAAAATTTTTCTATATATATATAGAGAGAGATATATATATATTTATTGATATTAGAATTAGTTTTGACGATCAATAACAATCATCTATTCATCTATTCCATAAAACATCCGGTAAAAACTAAACGAAGTAATTTTTATTTATTTTTTTTATCTTATAAACAATAAATAAATATAATAAAATTAAAAAAATTTATATATTTTATAACTATTTATAACATATCTAAAATATTTATATTAGTTAAAAATAAGATGTTATAAATAGTTAATAGATTTCATAATTTATTTAAACTATTTATATTAGATAAAAATGAGTTGTTTGTAAGTAAGTTAATAGACTTGTTATTAGCTTGTGACATTTTAAATATTTTTTACAAAAAACATGGTTGCTGCAAAGTTGTGCTCATATAGAGGTTTTTTCTTATGAATTAAATTATAGTTTGATCTAAACATAAATGCAATACAAAAATTTCGTACATTCCGTTTAATATTCTGTTTAATATTCAGACTTTTATTCAAAGAGTGCGGATTTTGGGTTATAAAAGCATGAATAAAATATTTCAAGTTCAACCATTCTTGAAATTTCTACTCCTTCATCCTTAAGTATTAGTGTGATATGAAATCCGCATTAGAGTAATACTAAAACATTTAAACAGAAGACCACAATACATAAAAATGCAATATAGTAATATAGCAACTTGAATACTCAAATAATTGCCTTGGACAATTAGAAAGGTTAATATTAAAAGGATCAATAGAGATTGTTCTTTAGCATTTAATGCTAAAGATAAAATGCTTTCTATCAAAAAGAATTTATTGGTTAATTTATAATATTTGTATAATAATTCTATACATCATTGGTGATTTATAACTAAGAAGAAATTGAGGGAAGAAATCTGTTTATTAAAAACCGAGAAGTGTTAACTTAGGTTTAAACGTATTGATTTAGAAGCATCAAGTAAATATCAATTCATTGAAGGGAGTTACAATGCGTATGCGATAATCGCACCGAAAGACATTATTCTCGCTCGGATCAATTTAACACAATTTAACAAATTTATTGAATGGAATAACACAATGGGAACTGCGGCTCTAGGCCCAACGCAATTTAACCTAAATTAAACATTCTAAATACATAAAATACTCAATTCAATGTCCGCATCCAAGTATTGCGTGATGGTCACGCGACGAAAAGAAAGAGAATTGAGCCTGTATATAACACGCCAAGGTGGCCAACACAAATGTGCGCATCTATATCATACAACAATTTCACATTACAATACTAAATGAGCGTCGCAGAGCAAGTTGCTGAGCAAGGCCATCTAAACGAGTTCTTAAGCATTTCTTCATTCGTTCTTTTTTCACTTGGGAGGGACTGGGTGGGAGCACTACGAAGGAGCCATACTAAAGTAGGCAGAGAAGAAAAAAGGCACTAACGATTTCCAATCTTTTCCTTAACCTTATTTATCGGAACCGCCAGGAGTCTAGACACTTTTGCAGTAACGTGATGTGGCGTATTGTGGCATATTCGGATAAGCTTTTTTGGCTTTATGTTATATTTCCGGTTAGGGTTCGTGGTTATAGGCCTTGAAAAATCATCTCCACATGTAAAATTACGCTTCCAACATTTCTTGTTAGTGACCAAAGGCCGATTTAAATACTAGTTTTTGAGTATTTTCTTTTTTCTTTTTGCGCACGTGTTTTGTTTTGACGTCGGGATGATCCGGGACGATCAAAATTTACGCATCCCGATTGGCCATTTCTCATGCGCCACATCACGTTACTGCCAATTTTTTCATTGAACCTAGCTGCCGCACCAAAATTTCACGGAATTCCTCGATTTTGATTGGCTAACGGCCGTGATCTACAAAATTTT